AGGAGAATCTTGGAGTCAGCTAACGAGATTCCTGATTTTTCAGAAATCTGCCCCATGCCCGGACTTTGTCAGACGGACATGAGTAGCGCGGCTCCCAGATGCAGGGCTCACAGATGCTTGAGAGAGGCAGGCCTGGGGCCTCTGTGCAGATGCCAGGAAGCGCCGAGGCTTGGAGATGGAACAAGGAGAGAGGACGGGAGGAGGGACCAAGTGTTGATGAAAATACCCGTCACGGGACGCCCTTGGTCCCTCGGACCCGAGCGCCTCCTGGAACCCAGCTCGTCTGGCTGCTGGTTGCCGGCCACACACCCCTGCCCCAGCACACCCATACTCAGCTCATATGGGCCCTTGTTACGCTTTTTCCCCTACTTCCAGGGAACCTCACCTCCTAACACCGAAAGCCCATCGTTCATGAAAAACACAGGCCAGCGCGTGAGATGGTCCGATGAACAGGGACTCTGGACACGGCCCGCCGGGTTTTGGCCAAAGAGTCATCACGTGGAACTTGTACTAGCGGGGCTAGAAGTACCAGATAAACCCAAGTGGCGGGTGAATTAAAATTTCAGCTTACACCTAAAATAAATGACCCATCATGTTCTCCATTCATTTCAGTTCATTTTTCCCTTTATGTTTAGACATAGGTATTGACAATGATGTGGACCGTGAGGCAAGTAAGCCAACAGGTTAAAATTAAGTTAAAAAAAAAAAAGATACCCTCCTTTAAGGGATGAAGCTATGTTTGATGTTGAATCCCTCACTGCTTCCCCAGTCACACAGATTCATGTAACAAACGCTTTACATAACAGAGCACTTGAAACTCAATGTGGCATATGATGTAACCTTTATGACCTCGCACGTGACATTTGTCATTTGAAGCACTTTGAGATATCGCTTAAAACAAAGCTTCCCTAATCAAAACTGTTAGAATCTATTTCCTGATGTAGAATGAGAAAATGTTCACATGTAAAAAGCCAAGGGGAGGGCCTCCCCAGTGGCGCAGGGGGTTAAGACGCAACCTATGAAGCTGTCCGCAGCCTCTGCAGCACGAGCTCGATCCCCGGCCAGCCAGGGAGCAACCCACATGGCGCGGCAGACCTCTCCTGACTCGCCCGCTGCTCCCCTCAGCAGTGTGTTTCAGTCAGTCTGCCTGTTCTGCATCCCACTCTGTCTCTGGTGAATCCTCTCACCCCCTCCTCCCACCCCTCTGGCCTGTACCCCAGCTCTTATATGCATAAAAATAAATTTTTTTTTAAAAAAAAGCCAAGGGGACATTCAAAATGTACTACTCCTTAGAATGTTCTTGTCTTAGGCTGGTTTGGGTCAGCCGACAGCATTCTTCCCATAAACTAAACTGTCTCAGGAGCTCAAGGCATAGGTGGGAATTCCATTTTAGCGTGAAATTCTCAAAACATGTTAGTGTGACTTCGGTGTGGATGACACTGAGAAGGGAGAATGTGGTTCAGGACGAAACGTGTAGCTCCAGCCTGCAGGCGGTCAGACGGGTGTTGTCTGGGTTGGAGCAAAGCAAGGTCAGAGAGCTGGTTAGGGGCAGACACGGGGGGGGGGGGGAGGGGCTCTGCAAGAACAAGAGCGAAGGTCCCAGGTGGCAACAGGATGTGGCAGGAAGAAGGGCAGCTCACCCAGGAGGGCTGGAGACAGGGAGAGGAGGCGGGGATGGGCAGGATCAGACCAGTGAGGACAGGGAAGGCTTTAAGAAAGGGTTTTTGTGACATTCCAAGCACAGCAAGACCACGGGAAGGCTTGAAGCAGCAGAATCAGTGATCTATGCTTTCACTCTTCAACTGGTTGTGGGATGGAGGATGTTTAAGGAAGGCGGGATAACTAGTGAGGGGGCATCAGTCTTGGCCTAGTACCTTGCAGCCATCCCGGGCTGGTAGGTGCATTGTCAGTTCCCAAAGAGAATCTGGAGCCTTCTGTGGAGTTTTGCAGTCCCTTAGGCTGAGACGGGTCGTGTGCACAGGCAAGCTACAGAGCACAAGACTCCCACTCTGAGAGAGGCAGAACAGCAGCTCCCCTCCAGCCAGAGTAGCTGGGCGGGTGGATAACTATGGCTATGAGGGGGCCATGTCGGGCCTCCCTGGTGGCCTAGGGGTGAAGGCTCAACACTATCAATTCTGCGGCCTGAATTCCACCCCAGCCAGGGAGGTACCCACACAGTGCAGCAGACCTCTCCTCTCTCCCCCGCTGGCCCCCACAGCAGTCGATTTCAGTGGATCCACCTGTTCTGCTCCCCCACTGTGTCTCTGGTGAATCCCCTCATTCCCGCACCCCTAGCAGACACCCCTGCTCTGTAGAGAATGTTGGAAGCCACAGGATGGATTAGTTCAGTCAGGGACAGCAAAGCAGAGAAGGAGAGATGCAAGCAGGCTTGAGAGAAAAGCAGGACTGAGCATTGGAGTTGGCAGCCGAAATGGAAGTGACCATAACTCCCTCTGCGCGGCAACTCAGGAGCAGCAACAGTTGGCAGGAGGGAGCAGCAGAACCTCTCACAGCCACTGATGGGTCAGGTCCCCAGGGGGACATGGGCCAGCAGGAGCCTGCCCTGCGTATCCTCACACCCTGAGACAAATCTGCCCCTCCGCTCTCCAGACCCGGGAAAAGAGACACTGGAGCAATATCAGACCCAGACCCGACACCCCTGAGCCAATGCTTCTGAGTTTTGGGGCTGCAACTGCGCTCCAGGCTGCTCAGGCTGATACAGTGAGTGAACCATCAGGGTAGGCCTGGGGTGGGGGAGGTGAAAGGAATCTGCAGTCTGAGTAGCAGCAGAACCCCCGTTGTTCACCTGAACCCACATTTCCAGATGGCAGGTCATTCCTGCCAGGGCTCAGGGTCACAGCGTCCAGACCTGTCTTTGGCCAACCAAGCCGCCCCCAATTCCAGCAAGAAGCAGCTATTTCTAAGCCAGAAATCTCAGTGGGAGCTGACCACCCCCCGCTGCCCGCAGCCCTATCTGAGTCAGGTCAGGGGGGTGTCCCCACTCGGGGGGCGACCATGGCAGGCAGCACTGCGTGACGGACACACACCCCGTGTCGTGCTGCTGGCGACACTCTTGACAGTGAGGGAAGGGGCTGTGGGCTCGCACCAGCAGGCAAGCCAGGCGAGCAGCAGACACGGGGAAGAGGGGAGCGAGAGGCCGAGCTTTACAGCATCTGCCCGCCTGCCAGAGCCGCCCCGGCCTCCGGCCTGGCCTGGAGGTGGCCGATGGGCACGCTCAGCTCACGGGCAAAGATGGAGGAAAACCCGGCCCAGAGAGCTTGCAATGTTGGCATGTGACGAACGGGCTATGTTGGGTCTCGTGCGCCCAACACGACATCGTTTACAATGTCAGTGGTGGTGGAGCGTGGCTTTGAGACAGCAGCGTGGAAGGCAGTGACTGTGTGGAGCACCCGCTCAGAGCAGGGCAAAAAAGCTAGGACAGGTCTCCTCGCTACAGATCAAGCGGCCTCCAAGCCTTCTCTGGGTTCTCCTTAACTGGGGACAGGTCCATCTCCAGGAAGCCCTGGAAACACACCTCTTGGCAGTTGCGTTTGCCTTAAGGCCCAGAAGCCACTGGGGTTTCCCTTGCCCAGGGCGGCGGCCCCCTTCGGCTCATAAAGGGCCGACTGCATAAAGGGCCACCGTGATGGCGCCCCGGGCCCTGCCTATATAAGCCCGGTCCGGCTGCCCTGCGTGTCCTTAAGAGCCAGGAAGCCTCTGGATAGCGACCTGCAGACTCGGACGGAAGGTAGCGTGGTGGTGTGGTTTATGTGGTTTTCCTCTGGTTTTTCTGTTTACTTATTTAGTTCTTTATTTTAGTTATTTATTTTAGTTACTGTATTTTTATTTTTGTCTTGTTTTCTTGTATTGTTTTGTTACTTGCTTATTTTTTTTCTATTTTTTTCTTTATTATTTTAATTTGTGCTGTTTTATTTTAGTTTTTTATTTTTCCTTTTTGTGTCTCCTCCCCACCCCCCACCCCGTCCCGTCCAGTCCCGTGTCCCTCCCCTTCTCCCCCCTTTCCCCTTGTTATTTTGTCGTGTGTTCGTTTTTCCCCTTTGTCGTGGGTCTATTTTGTTGTTGGTGTCAGTTTCTAACTGTTTGTCCTGTTGTGGTCTGTTCTTTGTCCTTGCTGTTGTTCTATGTTGTATTCGTGAATGTAATGGCTTGTTTGTGATTGGTTTGTTTTGATCGTGTTTTTAAATGTTTATATCATTTGTATTTTTTTGGTTGTGTATGTTCATTTATCTTTGGTGTAGATAGTTAGTGTTAGTGTTAGTGTTCTAGTAAGGTTAGCATAGTAAGGTTAGTGTAGTTGTAGGTAGAGTTAAGGTAGCTTTGTTAGTATTTAGTTAGCTTAGTGGGTAATTTTGTATACTATTAATCCTATATTGTTAGTGTAGTTATTGTTAATATAGTAGTAACCCTTGTAAATACTATCGGGGAGAGCGTGAGGTCAGGAGAGGCAGCGCCAGGGCCGCCAGCGCAGTCAGGGCCGCGGGGACAGCCCGCCGGGTCGGCACTCGCTATGTTCAGGCCCTGCGCTCTCGGGGCCCCCAGCATGAAAAACTACCGGGTGCTGCGCACGCTGGGGGCGGGCGCCTGCGCCAAAGTCAAGCTGGCGCTACACTTGGTGACCGGCACGGAGGTGGCCATCAAGTTCATCTGCAAGGCCAGGCAGGCGCGCCTCGAGTTCCTGGCCCGCGAGGTGGCTTGTATGAAAGCGCTGCAGCACCCCAACATCATCCAGCTGTTCGAGGTGCTGGACACCCCGGAGGAGCTCCTCCTGGTCATGGAGTATGCGGGCGGGGGGAACCTGCTGGACTACCTGCTCCGGCGCGGGCGCCTGGAGGAGCTCGAGGCGCGCCACAAGTTCCAGCAGATCCTGGCGGCGGTCGCGCACTGCCACGCGCGGGGCATCGTGCATCGCGACCTCAAGCCGGAGAACATCCTCATGGACCGCGAGCACAACCTCAAGCTCAGCGACTTCGGGCTGAGCATCGAGTGCGCGGGCGCGGCGCTCAGCACCTTCTGCGGCAGCCCCGAGTATGCGGCGCCCGAGATCTTCCTGCACCGCCCGTACGCGGGCCCCGCCGTGGACGTGTGGAGCCTGGGGGTGGTGCTCTACAGGATGGTCACGGGCGCGCTGCCCTTCCGGGGCTCCGACCTCGTGGAGATCCGGGACCGCGTGGTCAGCGGGCACTTCCACCTGCCCCCCTACCTCTCGGCCCAGTGCCGGGACCTCCTGGGCAGAATGATGGTGCTGGACCCCCAGGAGCGCAGCAGCCTGGAGGCCATCCAGCAGCACCCGTGGGTGCGGCCGACTCAGGGGCTCCTGGCCGTCCACGAGCCGTCGCCCAGCCACCACGACGCGGCCCTGGCGGAGGCCATGGTGAGTATGGGCGATCAGAGACAGCAGAGCCAGACGGCCGTGGTGGAGCGAAGATTCGACGAGGTGATGGGGTCGGACCTCATCCTGGGTCCCGGAGGCGGGGGGAGGGGAGCCCCCAGGAGGAGGAGGCGTGGCCGAGTCTCCCCGCCCCCCAGGAGCCCTGCCCACGCGCCGTGACCCCTGGTGCCCGGGACTCCGGGGAGGGCCTCCTGCAGGTGTCCGGGGATGAGCAAAGCCAGGAGGCTGGACAGACAGAGGATGCCGCTGCGTCAGCTGTGTTCAGCCTCCTGGCCACCCCGGGCCGCAGGACCAATTGCGTGAAAATCCCGCAGGACGGAGCCTCAGGGTGCAGTGCCAGCTCCCCGTCAAGCCCCCAGGTGGGGGATACCCGGGAGGACTCTTCCACCCCCACGCCGGGCCCCCTGCAGAGGGACGCCCCAGAGCGCAGCGCCACCCCCACGCCGGGCCCCCTGCGGGAGGACGCCTGGGAGGAGAGCGACACCTCCATTCTGGACATCCTGCAGGAGGGTGCCCGGGAGCCCAGCACCACGTCAATTCCGGGCCCCCAGGTGGAGGACAGCGCCACCCCCAGGTCACGCCCCCTGCGGGTGGACGCCTGGGAGGAGAGCGCCACTTCCATTCCGGACCCCCTGCAGGAGGGTGCCCCAGATCAGAGCGCCACCTCAATTCCAAGCCCCCAGGCGGAGGACAGAGCCACCTCCATTCAAGAGCCCCTGCAGGAGGAAGCCCCAGAGCAAAGTGCCACCTCAATTGCGGACCCCCAGGTGGAGGACAGTGCCACCCCCAGGTCACGCCCCCTGCGGGAGGATGCCTGGGAGGAGAGCGCCACCTCCATTCCGGACCTCCTGCAGGAGGGTGCCCCAGATCAGAGCGCCACCTCAATTCCAGGCCCCCAGGCAGAGGACAGCGCCACCTCCATTCTAGACCCCCCGCAGGAGGATGCCCCAGAGCAAAGCGCCACATCCATTCCGGGCCCCCAGGTGCAGGACACCAAGGAGGGTGGTAGCACCACCACCATGCCAGGCCCCCTGGTGGAGGGTGAACAGGAAAGCAAGAAGGGACCAGTCAGTCCTGCCCCCCAGCACCCCCTCACCAACCTCAGACCTCCCCCAAGACGCAGCTGGCTCCTCAAGTTCCGCAGGAATGCGGTGGCTCCTGCAGAAAGCCATGAAGACAATGACACCTCAGTCCCATCCATTAGCTCTAGCCAAGGCGGGCGGGCCAGCAGGAGGATAATGAATGCCCTGCTAAATTTGTGCTGTTTCTGCCGACCACACCACTGAAAACACGGCAAGGGTGTTCACCCACCCGACAACTCATAAGACTGCCACACCCTGCAGACGTCCCGCCCAAAATGCAGCCACCAAGTGAGCAGGAGCATGCCAGGGGAGGGCGAGGCTCTGGAGAGGGGTCAGGGCCTGGGCCCAGTCAGAGGGGCCAGGAGAAGCATGACGCACACAGGACCTGATCACAGATGTCCGCGGAGCACAGATGTCCTGGAGCAGAGCAGGTGAAGGGCCAGGAGGGCAATGGAACTGGTGAAGCACCTGGGGTGGGGGCGAGCAAAGCGGGTGAAAGGGGTGGGTGAGCAAAGCGGGTGAAGGGGGGCGAGTGGAGGTTGGAGGCAGCTGAACAGATGAAGGGTGGGGAGTGGAGCTGTTCAGGGGCGGAGCTCCCAGAGGCCCCAGGGCCAGAGGCGGCGGGGAACCCACGGCCTGGCTTCCCACCTTAGGCTCTGTCCTGTGAAGGCCTCCCCGCCCCCTTGCTGGGACAGCCCTGCTGCTGGCGCCTGAGCACACGGATGGCGCAGAGGATGCAGGAGCTCTGTGGTCTGAGTGGCATTGTCATTGACTGACGGACACGGTAGGAAGTCCCCCTGGCTTGGGCCCCTTTTAAAAACTGAAGCTCCAAGTTGGAGAATAGCTCACCTGCCAGCTAGTGGTAGGGCCTCCTGGTTTCCTTCTGAGCCCTGCCCAATCACCTCTGTGCAACGCTCCTCGGGGGATTTCACTCACACACGAGCATCCTGAACACTTCACTCTCTGCTTGGGCTTTACTGGCTCTTCTCTTCCCACGCAGGTCCCGGACGGCGCAGGAGGTGGCCGCGATGGGCAGACGGGCTCCCCACTGCAGAGGGGACCTCCAGGTGACCGGCTCTGCCTCTAGGACGCTGGGGCGTGGAGGCATCTGAATGCTGTTTCTCGGCCTGATGGAGACACTCAGAAATGGATTGCTTTGTTAGCGTGTCTATGCCATGACTCATTAAATCATTGTTTGAAACCGACCTTATTTGCTTCTCATTTATGAACGTGCCCGCACTTCCAACACCTGGGTCATCAGATACCTAAATTTGCTTTAAAATTCCTATGATCAGCACTGGAAATTTAAGAAAATTTAGAAAATTTTAGAAAGCATTGAGAAAATTTTAGAAGTCAGGTGGATCACACGGTGATAGCACAGTGAGATGGAGAGTGGCGCAGAGCTGCCAATGAGTATGTCATTAGGTATTTGCACTATGTTCTTTAGGTGTATGTGCATTTCACAGTGTCTGTGCAAGTGTGTGCATGTGAGCCTGTACATGAGTGTGTATGTGGGTGCTTCTATATGTTGAAGTGTTCATGTACCTTCTACTGTCAGAAAGACACTCAGAGAGCTGTAGAGAATTGGTACAATGTCTTCAAAAGTGGGGCCACCCTGGTGGCACAAGGGGTTCAGCACAGCACTGTGAAGCTATGGGCAGTCTCTGCAGCATGAGTTCCATCCCTGGTTGGCCAGGGAGCTACCCACAGGGCACAGCAGACCTCTCCTGTCTCCCCGCTGTTCCCCTCAGCAGTGGATTTTAGTCGGTCTGCCTTTTCTGCTCCCCGCTCTGTCTCTGGGGAATCCTCTGACCTCCTGTACCTCTGGCCTGTACCTCAGTTCTTGTGTGCATAAATAAACCTTTAAAAAATTTTAAAGTTTGGTAGAATTAACCCATCAAACCCTAGTTTATTTGGTTTATAATTGTATTATTCGGGCCCTCCCTGGGGATGCAGGAGTTAAAGTCGCCGTGCTATCAAGCTTTCACCAGACACTGAGGCATAATTTCAGGAGTTTGATCCCCAGCTCAGGAGCTGACCCACACAGGAGAGGGCAGGAGACCTCTCCTATCTCCCCACTGCTCCCCTCAGTTGTGGATTTCAGTGGATCCACCTGTTCTGCTCCCCACTCTGTTGAGTCCTCTCACCCACTGCACCTCTGGCCTACACTCCAGTTCTTGCATGCATAATTAAATAAATCTTTTAAAAAAGGGTATTATTCAATTTGCCATCGATTTTAATGCTCAATATTCAAAACAAGATATCCTTACTTTGAAATAAAACATCTATTTTTGTTTACTGTATTCGAACATTTCATAGAAGCAATGACCTCGAACTGTTATTTCATTTAGTTCCAACAAATGCTTTTGTTGATGTTCATTAATTTTTCCAGTAATTAGAAAAAAATAGAGTAAAAAAAGTATTTTTGATACTAAATCATAACATGCTTATTTGAAAGATCTTAAATATAAGACTGAAATTGTTATACATTTTCCTAATTCATTTAAGATTTATTGGTTGGTAAGTGAGCATATTTTAAAAAGTACTATTTAAAAACAATACAAATGATATACTGTATTTTTGAAGACTTCTTAAGTGATTTATAACTTAGATAATATTACAAACTTAAAATTAGTGATATTATTAGTAACATCATATATAAAATCTAATGATATTTTCGATCTCCCACATTTTTCCATATAATACCATGTAACATGGTGTATACCGTATAATGTGTTCTTATACCATATACTGTCTTATACCATATACTGTTCTTATACCCTATACCGTATACTGTCTGTGTACACCTATGTATCCTATTATGTAAGTGATAGTGAGGGTTTATTTTTATTTGAATCAAAATGATGTTTTATAAAGGAACTGAGTATAATAATTTACTATACTAGAGTTAGATTTAATGATACTTGGATACAAACAGGAAAAAATAGAGTATGTGCAGATACTTTTAAACTCCCGTTTCCTGTGATTATCCAGAATAACTTTTAAATACTGATCAAAATTTATTTCCATAGACTAGACTTAGCCTGTCTCGAGCCTATTGCTGTCATTTTTCATGTTGTATGATTTGCAGATATACTTCAATAAAAATGATTTTTATAGTTGTTAGATATACATTATGCAATGCTCATTTAAACATACTAGCTTTTACTGTACTTGCCTTGATTTTCAAGCAAAATTTTATGTCACAGTACATTAATTTCTATTATCTATCTTTGTACTTTTTCATTAACACATTTTATTACAATAAACAAAAGTAAAGATGGTGTTAGTTGTTTGGCTCCAGGCTGCAGTAATTTCACCAAACATCTGGAAGACAAATGAATGGAACAGACTATTGTTGTAATTATATTTATTGATTTGAGTATTTTTAAATTCTTATTTATTTTGAACAATAATGTATTTGTGTCTATAAATTGATTAATGGATTATAACCTTAATCATGAAATAGTAGAAGTTACAGCTGGCTAAGTATTGTGGTTTCTTACAAATTACTTCAATTACAGATGCCAAGCATTCTGCATTCCCCACTTAACAAGAAGTGGTTTGCCAAGAAGTTTCTTTAATGATCAGCTTGTCTCTGTACTGGCACAGCGGTTGGAAAAGAAACTACCCATGTCAAACGTACCTCATCCCAAAACTCAATCCTCAACTACAGAGTGTGTCTACACAATTATTCCAGGCTGGAAGATCTGATATCTTCCCAGTAACAACAGTTGAAACAGTTAGCTTGTATTTATATTTAATTGTTTGCATCATGTTTACCATGCTTTTTAATAATAGAAATAGCCTGCATTGACTAGCAATTACAATATTAAAATACTGTGATTTTAACGTGTAAAGTTATGCAGGTTAAAACTGTTCTTTCCTAATTGTCACTTTATGCTATTTTAAAATCTAGATATTACTTTAAAATGGGGCCTCCCTGGTGACACAGGGGTTAAAGGCAGTGCTATCAAGCTATCAGCAGCCATTACAGCAGGAGTTCGATCCCCTGCAGGCCTGGGAGCAACTCACAGGGCCCACCAGAGCTCTCCTGCCTTGCTCGCTGCTCCCCTCAGCAGTGTGTTTCAGTAGATCTGCCTGTTCTGCTCCCCACTCTGTCTCTGGTGAATCCTTTGACCCCTCACACCTCTGGCCTACACCCCAGTTCTTGTATGCATAAATAAATAAATCTTTTTAAAAAGTCTCTTTTAAAATGATCTCTTAT